TATTAGGCAAGATTTATCTGGATTACCTGGATTGGCAAGCAGGCGGCTATCAAACGTTTATAACGTTGCTGGCCACAATGCTCGCAATGTTTCCGTGCACATTGTTTTAGCCTCAATTTACGCCTAAACCCCGTTGGCTAGGCGAGCAGGCCAACCGAACACAACCGAGTAATTAATTAGTCGCCGTGAATACTTTGCATAATTAATCGTCGTAGCCAAATACCAATCCAATAAAAATTCATAACTAGTAAAATAAATATTCCGCCGATCGCTCACAGCGATTGACGAAACAACCACTCGATGTCCAAGTAACTACAATAATATTAGGCAAAATATCCGTTAAAAATGTTGTATCGTTGAGAATAAGTTGAGACGACTCAAAACAATACTTTACTCGGGGTCAAAGCCAAGACTCGGAATCCGAGAAACACATTAGAATCGAAATCTCGCCCTTATATAGAGTTTTTTGTATGTAAATTTCTAACAATAAGACAATAACTCATATAGAAGTCAGCAGATCATGTTTGCTAATTTGATCACATATTCGATCATTACACAACAAAAAAACCGTAAGTTAGGCAAACTCTCTTTAGGCAAAATGTATTTAGGCGAATTGTCCGGGTACCATTCATTTCGATTTTTGCGCTGATCACAAATCGATCGATCGATTTTATAAGATCAATAGGCTTGATTTTTTAGTGAAGAATGTTGCATGTGCTGCTGCTAATCGCGTCACGTCATCTCCATCGAGCACATGTGGCGCCGGCGCCGGCGGCGGCGGCGGCGGTGGCATGTCACGTACGGTATTCAGTTCGGACTCGTGTTGTTCTCCGTCTGCATCTTCGGCCGCAGCCATCAAGAAGAGTGCACTGCCCGAATTTCAAGCCAACGCCGATAAGAGTTTCTGCCAATCGTGTCAGGTGCCAAACCACTTAACTTCTGCATCGAAAAGCTATTCATCAGCACCTCTGTGTCTGATCTATCCATTACTTTCGCCCATTTAAAGCCTATCTTAGGTCTATTAATTGCTCATGAAACACGTCCCAGATCAGTGCCTGAAACGCCTTCAAAAAGCAAACGAATAGTCTCAATTTTCAGCGTCACCACGACTATTTGATCATCAGTAATAGTTTCGAGCAAGCACGTTGTCAGGAATGCTTCATGAAGCTGAGAAGTCAGAGCGGTGCGCTGCCTTTGACTGTACGTTAGTTAGTTGAAATAATATGTGCGGTGTCTGCAAAATATCGAGCATTTTCTTAATACCGAGATCGGTAGTAATACGGTTATCTTATCGTTTTCGGTACCGATACGATACGATATTGAAAGCAACTTTTGAAGTATGGAAATTTGACTTGTTCAACGCATTCGTTTTGAGACAATCTGTTTAGAATTATGCAGAAAACGAAAATTTATTTAACGAATCACTCACCAAATCTCAACAAATTCAACAAAAAATACAAAAATCGGTATCAATCACGCTCAGTCGTGATCGATACACCACCAAATTCACTTAAAAT